CGAGTAGTGGCCCTCCACGAAAAGCATTCAGCGGGGCTGCTGCTAACATCGCCTTTTTGAGGAAATCATTTGATTACCGCAAAGAAAAAAAAACACGTTAGAAGATGCGATGGCGTCTTCCAGCGTGTAGAGGCCCACCACGGAAACGCACTCCTCGGCGCTTACCTTGAACAAGGCTGCTCGTCTGCTTCTCCTTGGGGAGGAAGAGCTCACCGGGACGGCAGGAGGTTAGCGTGGTGGAGACCCAGGCATCCTTAGCAAAGGTTGTGCTGGTCAAAGCTGGACAACTTTTCCTTCTTTGTTCTTCTGACAGTGCTAGCTAGCTGGCTGAAGAAAAAATGGGGAGACGATTATCTGGTCTCACTATAATGTATACGGACCGGGGGTGAGGCCCACACACAGCAGATGGGCATGGACTAAAGTTTTTCAGTGCAGCGCTGAGCGCCTAGGCATAAACCCACCAGCGACAGTCTTATAGGGCGAAGCCTATTCGAAATAGAACAGGCTCATCTGCACCTGAATTTAAGGAAACTAATGTCAGAGAAAAACTGAGCAGGTAAAGCACAAGTAACAGAACTCACTCACAATATCCCCAGAACATACAAATTCATCCATCATCTTTACCCGCTTCTTCCTTTTCGAGTCGCGAGGATCACTGGTGCCCATGTCCAGCCATCACTGTGTGATAGGCAAGGGACACCTGAACAGATCTCCAGTCCATCACAGGGACGTCTCCTGTCCATCAAAGGGACATCTCCTGTCCATCAAAGGGACGTCTCCGGTCCATCACAGGGAACACATAGACACTAATCTCTTTCTCTCTCTCTCTCTCTCTCTCTGTCTCCCTCTCTCTCTGTCTCCCTCTCTGTCTCTCTCTCTGTCTCCCTCTCTCTCTCTCTCTGTCTCTCTCTCTCTCTCTCTCTCTCTGTCTCCCTCTCTCCCTCTCTCTTACTGTCTTTCGGGACATTTAGAGTTACCAATCAGTTTTCAGCCAATCAATAAATACAAAAGTAAACTCAAAGAACTAGCAAATAAGAAATTTGCAGATCCTGACACATGATACCCATAAATCACAAAACATGCTACTTTTGTAAAATATCGTTGTTTATTTTGGGGAAATTTTTGTTATTTTTTTTCAAATATTACCATTTGTAGGAATAACTGTGAACTTTTAAAGATTAGAGCAGTTTTAGAAGCCAACAATCTACTGACAAGCTACTAATGTTTAATGAGACTGGGACCGTTTCCAAAGTGAGTTGTCTCGTTGCATACCAAGCCCAGACTTCACAGTTTCATAAGAGTTCCTGCAAACACTTATCTAAACTTTCACATCACAGTCAATCTTTCATTCTATTATTTCAGATTAAATACTTTGAAATTCTCAACAAAGTGACTGTGGACCGCATTAGAAGTGCTACAGTTAGCTGCTGCTGCCACTCTTTGAACTTGCAAATAACCCTAAATTATATTTTAAAAAAATGTATGGTGAAATTAAAAGGGACATTAAGTTTTACAACATTAGTATTAGCATGAACTGCTATAAAAATTAATGTTATAGGAGCAGTTCAGAGACAATCCGTTTTGGTCCTGTCTCCACTTGGACTAGTCATTAGCTCATCAGTTCAGTCAAAATTTAACTGTGCTTCTGCAAAGTGAAGTCGTTCAAATGATATCTACACCTGGTAAGACATTATACCCTTTCCACATAATACTCCTTCAAAATAGCTGGAATATTGTTTTAAGATCCTTAGAGTACATCCATCCATCCATTTTCTTTACCCGCTTGTTCCATTTTGGGTCACGGGGGTCGCCGGTGTCCATGTCCAGCAATCACTGTGCGAGGGGCGGGGTACACCCTGGATGGGTCGCAAGTCCATCACAGGGACACATAGAGACAAACGAGACAAACAACCATTCACTCTCTCACTCACACCTAGGGACAATTTAGAGTTACCAATCAGCCTAACATGCATGTTTTTGGTCTGTGGGAGGAAACCGGAGCACCCGGAGAAAACCCACACATGCACGGAGAGAACATGCAAACTCCACCCAGAAAGGCCCCTGGACCGGGGTTTGAACCAAGGACCTTCTCGCTGAGAGGCAGCAGCTCTACCAGCTGCGCCACCGTGCTGCCTGCCCTTAGAGTACATGTACACTGCTTTTTCTTTGTGGACTTTTTAACGGATCTTTGCCTCTGCAGGACAACCTGTGTTTTGCTGATGGCTGATAATTAACTTACTGCTGCATTTCAGCCAGCCCTGCTGCTGCAGCTTCTCAGAATTTCACTGTATCAAAGGAACGGTTCTGAAAGTTGCATCAACACTGGGAGAAAGTTGGAGCGTTTTTTTTTTTCTTCTTTGACATTCTCTCCTATGGCTCTTTGTACATTCCTGTCAGCTTTTACAATATTGCCATAAATAATAATAATAATAATAATGAATTTAATTTGTAACGCACTTTTCATTAACAAAAATCTCAAAGTGCTACAGAGTGCAACTAAAATCAATGATAAAATCAACTAAAATCTGTGATAAAATCAACTAAAATCAATGATACAATCAACTAAAATCTGTGATAAAATCAACTAAAATTGAGACTAAAGGCCTAATGTGGGAAATAATGTGCAGTTTCCATGCTACTGGTTGGTGCACAAACAAACATTTGAAAGTGCACTCTTACAAAAATGATCAGTTTTATGAACTGCACCTAATGTAATTCTGTGCACTTTTCCTTCATACTTGGCAGTTTATTGATAAAGAACGTAGCTGCACATGACACTTAGATCAACCATAAATAAAACTGCAAAGTATAAACTGTGTGTCCACATAAACATTGCACAGGCATTGACAAAAGAAAAAGAAGTATTTCACTGAATGGGCTGGGGCAGCACGGTGGCTCATTTGGTAGAGCTGTTACCTCTCAGTGAGAAGTTTGCTGGTCCAAATCCCAGCCCAGTACCTTTCTGGGTGGAGTTTGCATGTTCACTCCGTGCTGCATGGGTTTTCACCAGATACTCCAGTTTCCTCCCACAGACCAAAAACATGCATGTTAGACTGATTGGTAACTCTAAATTGTCCCTAGGTGAGAGAGAGAATGGTTGGTTGTCTCATTTGGTCCCTATGTGTCCCTGTGATGGACTAGAGACCTGTCCAGGTGTCCCTGTGATGGACTGGAGACCTGTCCAGTTGTCCCTGTGATGAACTTGCGACCTGTCCAGGTGTCCCCCGCATCTCGCACAGTGATTGCTGGACATGGGCACCGGCGACCCCCGTGACCCAAAAAGGAAGAAGTGGGTAAAAATAATGGCTGGCTGGCTGTCTGGATGGATGGATGGATGGATGGATGGATGAATGGATGAATGGATGCTCCAGAGTTAGTAGGAAATGAGCATCAGGATCTGAATTTCTTTGTGTTTTTTCCTGAAATGTTTTCAAAAGTGATTTTCCATCAAAGTCAATGTAAGAAAAAGAGTTGCTGTCACTGACAGAACGTTTCGTCCGTGGTTTGGTGAGCACGACAGTTCTAGGCATCCTGCTGTGTCCTCCAGCATCACCAAACCTGCCATTGTTACACAATTACATGCAACTTTATGGCCATGTGTTATTGTCTGCACCTTGTTGACCTCAGAAAACTGTTGCATGTGACTTGTTCTGAATGAATACGCTGAGCCAGCACAGTTTTCTTCTCAGTGAGAATGGGCGTGCCCCTTGGACAATTGACATGCATTTTATGTGCATCAACTGTGAGCTTCACCAGAATGTGGTCGCTGATGCGTATTTACAATTACACATGACAGCAAGAGGAAAGCCTTTACAATTTGCATTAACTGAAGTTGTTTCAGTCAGTTTGAGGTGTAATATAAATTACGCTTTATGAGGTTCAGTTCAGTGATCGTTTTGATAAACTTGACTTGTTCATGGAAAATGACATAATTCAGTTCAGTTTATTTATATAGAATCATATCACAACAAAGTTGTCTCAGGGCACATCATGTTCCAACAACCAGTTTGTGCATACGCTCTGATCATACATGAGGAACCTGGAAACAAACTTTTTCAAATATCCACAAAACTGAAGATTTTCACTACAATGGGCTTGTTGCTTGGGATTTAAAAACTGCTGTGAAACAATTTCAGGTCCTGGGACGATGAGAACCAAATGTTTTATTATTTTTTCAGAGATTCAGAGATTCTTTAATGTCATTCCACCACATGTGGTACATGGGGTGGAATTAAATGATGTCCACAGGGTCCCAGTTACATCCAACAATAAAATGTACAAAGAAAAACAATGATAACATCTAAGATATGAACTAAGAAAAACATCAACTAAAAATACTCTAAACACTAATAGCATGAAAACAATAAAAAACCATACACCAAACAACAGCAGCACGAACATGAGTCTGGTGCTGGGTGGTCTGTCCGGGTCTTCAAAGCATGCATAAAACTTGTTGATGGCATCAGGCAGAGATGGGTCTTTAGGGCATTGTTCACTCCTGCTTTTATAATCTGTTAAACACTTAATGCGCCTCCACATGCTCCGTGGGTCTTGTGAGGTGAATTGACCTGTTTTATATCTGTTTTGTATTTGTAATTATTTCTATCTTAACTTTTTTTTGTCTTTCCTCCTATAGAAAGTACCTGTCATTCTATGTTCTTTTCTCCTTCCTGTCCTCTCAACCAGCCGGTCAAAGCAGATGGTCTCTTGTCCTGAGCTGGTTCTGCTGGAGGTTTCTTCCTGTTAAAGGGAGTTTTTCTTTCCACTGTCTCCACTGTGCTTGCTCAGGATGGGAGACTGTGATGAAGCCAAGATTCAACTTGTCTGCTGGATTCCTTAGATAGAGAACTTTACTAACTGGCTTTTTATGCAAGTGAATGTTTTTGTACAGTGTCCTGAGACCACTTCTGTTATCACTTGGAGCTATAGAAATAAACTAACTGAATTGAATTGAATAGTATACCTTTTGTAAATCTGATCATTTATATCTGTCCACTCAGGATCCGTCTGAGACCTCGGATTCTGCGGGACGTGTCAATGAGTGACACACGTACTACAGTGCAGGGGACTGAAATCAACTTTCCTGTTGGCATTGCACCTACAGCATTTCACTGTCTGGCCTGGCATGAAGGGGAGACGGCTACAGCTCGGGGTGAGGACTGTCTGTACGTGTCTGTGTGTGTGTGTGTGTGGGGGGGGGGGGTTACATACCCTGTGGGCGGCTGTGTCTGAGAGGTTAGAGCAGTCGTCCTCCAATGCAAGAGTTGGGGGTTCAAATCCACCAGCAGTTACATACCAAAGTGTCCCTGGGCAAGACAATGAACCCCTCACTGCCTCTGATGTGTGTTCCATCAGTGTCTGGATGTGATAAAGCTCTGATTAGTCTCTTTAGAATGATTTGTTCAATTATCTTTGTATAGATCTAGTATAGAGCTGTGTGAATGGGTCAATGAGGCACAGATTGTGGTAAAGAGCTTTGAGTGTCTTGATAAGATAGAAAGGTGATATATAAGTGCAGTCCATTTAAAAGGAGCCAGATGTTTTGTAATCTTTTAAAGTGATTTTGAATTTATCAGGAACTTCTGCATTATTTTAGCATAAAGAGATGAGCTTCTGCTGTTCTCTGCATGACAGACTTGGGAACAACACAATTTTAAACAGTGTTTTCAGGGATTTAATCACTAGAAACCTGTGACAATAAACAAAATATTTCACATTCTTTTAAGAAAACTGTAAAAATTCAAATGAATAAACAAATAAACAGAAATTGTTCAACAGGCATAAAATGATAAAGTCTCAATTCTGAAAATGTTCAGAGACTGTGGGTTTTCTTCACACAGTAAACATCAAATGTTTAAACTAAGAAATTGAATGTTTAAAAAATAAAGATATTTTTGATTTTGATGGCAGTAAGGCATTTCTAAATTGTTTGGACCATTCAGTGTTAACCTTTGTGAAGCATCTCCTCTTCCTTTAACAACAGTCTGTAAACGTCTAGAAACAGAGAAAACCACCAGGAGTTTTGGAAAAAAAACATTGTCCTTTCTTGTCTATTGGAGGACATTAGCTGTTCAACAGTCTTGAATCTTCTTTATGGGAGTATATGTTGTTCCAAATCCTGCATATACTTTTCTACTAGGATTTCCAAGCATCCTTGCTGCCCATGCCATAACCATTAATGCACCTCCATACCATCAGAGAAGCATGCACTTTTGATTTGTGTGTTGAGAACAGTCCAGTGGGTAGAGCTGTCATTTCTAACCTGTGCCCGAAGCCCGAACCAAATTCAAACCGGCCAGGCCATAATAATGTGATTAATGTGCGGGCCGGGCTGCTCTCGGGCTTTGACGCAGTTTTACAAATCACACAGCACAAAGAAAACTAAATAAATATGCACAATATAAAACTGTGTTAATCTACTTGTAAAGGAGGAGGCATTAAGTTTACTGATGAGGAAATAAAGAGTGCAGCAGTTAATCAGACTGTAAAATGAGTCAGAGATTCTATATTGTCATTCTCACCTCATGTGGTACATGTGGTGGAGCGAAATTATGTACACAGGGTCCCAGTTACATCCAACAATAAAATGTATAAGAAAAACATCAACTAAAATATAGTAAGCACTAATAGCATAAAAACATTACGTCGAACAGCAGCACAAGCGTGAACATGAGTCTGTGTGAACAGATGAGCACGCATGAACACAGCAACATGAAATAGATCAGCAACAACATGAAACAGATCAGCAGCAACATGAAACAGATCAGCAGCAACATGAAACAGATCAGCAGCAACATTATATGGTTTTTCACAATGACTATTCTAGTTAGAGATTCATGAGTCTAACAGCCTCAGGGTAGAAGCTGTTCCTCAGTCTAGTGGTTCTACACTTAATGCTCCTCAACCTCCTTCCTGAGGGGAGTGGGGCAAAAAGTGTGTGTGCTGGGTGAGTGTGGTCCTTCATGATGCAGGTGGCCCTCTTCCTGCATCTGGAGGTGTAGATGTCTGTGATGGTGGGGAGACTGACTCCAACATCTTCTGTGCAGCCTTCACCACTCTCTGCAAAGCTTTTCTTTCTGCAGCTGTGCAGCCTCCATGCCACACGTTGATGCTGGAGCACAGGATGCTCTCCACTGCACACCTGTAGAAGGAGGTGAGGACTGAGCTTCCCAGACCAGCTCGTCTCAGCCGCCTGAGGAAGTAGAGTCTCTGATGAGCTTTCTTGATCAGGCTGGTGGTGTTGTTGCTCCAGCTGAGGTTGTCATTCATGTGTACACCCAAGTACCTGTAGCTGGAGACCACTTCCACTGTAGATCCTCTTATGTAAAGGGGGGTTTAGGTGTGTTTGTTCCTTCTGAAGTCCACAATCATCTCCTGTGTCTTCTTCACATTGATGTGAAGGTTGTTCTTCCTGCACCAGCTCTCCAGGTGTTCCACCTCCTGCCTGTAGCTGGACTCATCATTGTTTGTGATGCATCATTGTTTGTGATGCATCCCACCACCACGGTATCATCTGCAAACTTTACAATGTGAAAGACTGGATGGGTAGCTGCACAATCATACGTGAGCAGGGTAAACAGGAGAGGGCTCAACACACATCCCTGAGGAGAGCCAGTACTGAGGGTTATGGTAGAGGAGAATTGTGGATCCTCACTAACTGTGTTCTGTTTGTTAAGAAATCTAGTACCCTGTTGCAAATAGAGGGGCTTAGTCCTAGTGTGAATAGTTTGTCCATCAGGGTTTGGGGGATCATGGTGGTGAAGGCAGATGTGAAGTCCACAAAGAGAATACAGACGTAAGAGTCTTTCTGCTCCAGGTGGTTGAGCGCAGTGTGGACCACAGAGGAGATGGCATCCTCTGTTGATCGGTTCTCACAGTATGCATACTGATGAGGGTCCTCGTTGATGTTTATGGTTGTTTTGATGTGGATCATGACCAGTTTTTCAAAGCATTTAGCAACTATCGGGTTTAGGGCCACTGGCCGATAGTCATTCAGACCAGTCACTGTAGAGCTTTTTGGGACTGGGATGATGGTGGCAGTCTTCAGGCAGGTGGAACTGTCTCCAGGGTAAGTGAGGTGTTAAAGATGTCTGCCAGCACCTCACAGAGCTGATCGGCACATTCTTTCAACACTTTTCCGGGGATGTTGTCTGGGCCAGTTGCCTTGTGTGTATTAATCCTCCTGAAAGTACTCCTTACTTTGGCTGAGGTCACGCTGAGATGCTCTTCATCTGGTAGTGAGGTGAGTCTGGTGTTGGGTGGTCTGTTTGGGTCTTTAAAAGCATGCATAGAACTTGTTGAGGGCATCTGGCAGAGATGGGTCTTTGGGGCATTGTTCGCTCCTTCCTTTATAATATGTTATGCACTTAATGTCCCTCCACATGCTCTGAGGGTCTTGTGAGATTAATTGACCCTCTATCCTCTGTGCATATGTGGCCTTCTCTTAATACCAACAATCAGCTCTTTCCTTGTCCTACTAAGCTCCTCTGAGCTTCCAGACCTGAAGGCAGTGTTCTTGGCTTCCAGTAGGGTGCGCACCTCTGCATTCAGCCAAGGTTTTCTGTTTGGGTAGCTTTTAACATATCTTATGGTGGAGACGGTGTCAGTACATGTACTAATGTAACCCAGAACTGAGGATGCGTATTGGTCCAGATCAAGTGATCCTCTATTTTCAGCAGCTTCTCTGAAAACCTGCTAGTCTGTTTGATCAAAACAATCTCTCAGTATGGGGCCACTGTCCTGGATCTAACATTTAACTTTCTTTTGTACCGGACTGGAGCGTCTCAGTTTGGGGAGGTAAGTAGGTAGCATTAAGATTGAGATGTGGTCTGACAGTCCTAGGTTGGGGCGGGGTTCGACTTTGTATGCATCTTCTACGTTCGTGTAAACATGGTCCAGCGTGTTGTCTCCACGTGTTGGTATGCCCACATGCTGGTAAAAGCTTGGGAGACAGTCCTTTAGATTCAGATGATTAAAGTCTCTGGCTACCTTGTAAAGAGCCTTAGGGTGTTTGTTCTGCAGAGAACCAATTATATCTTTCAGTTTCTGCAAGGCGTCATTAGCATTAGCATCTGGAAGAATGTAAACAACTGTGATGAAAGTCGCTGTGAACTCGTGGGGTAGATAATGTGGCCGACATTTCACTGTTATTTGCTTCAAAGTCTTCGAGCATGAGCTTTTTACAACTGTACAGTTCTTGCACCAACTTTTACTCACGTAAATGCACACTCCGCCTCCCCATGATTTTCCCATTAGCTCGCTGCAGCGGTCCGCTTGAAAAAAAAGTCTGTCATCCAACTGCAAGACTGTATCCGGCGTTTCACTTATAATCCATGTTTCCATGAGGAAAAGCACCACACACTTCATCATCTCTTCTGAGGCGCCCACTCTCAGACGAAGCAAATCCATCTTGTTGTCCATTGAGCGGACGTTCGACAGAAAGAGAGATGGCATCAGGAGTTTTCCAGCTTCAGCGTTAGCTCGTAGCCTCACCATAACTCCCGCCCAACATCCTCTCTTCTTAAGGCGGGAGCAGCGCTTCTTCCTCTGCCCGTTGAAAAGCCTCAGTTGCAGCTTCCAGGTAGATGACTTTAAGATCTGCATTCTGCCGAGCGTAGTTTTGAGTTTGTTACTGATTTCTGCTATATTTCGTGGCAAATCTGCTCCTATTCTCATCAGTTCAGTTCGGCTATAGTTCACACGCATAAATAGTGCGGAGTCAGGCACAGAGTCAATATCAAAACATCTAAAAACTGGGATAGTACCGGGAGCCTGTGAAGCTGCAACTGCTCTGAGCACGGACATCTTGGTAAAAGAGAGTAGCGCTGGAACATTGGACAGCAATTACGTGCGGCCCCGCCCACCCTGCTTTGCTCTTCTTATGACATATTGGCATGTTGGGCTTTTTAGTCACATTTCTAGAAACGTTTTACCGTGCACAGAGAGAACTGGAGGGTGAAAAATATCCCACTATCAACCTTGTTTGCCTCTAGGATGAGAAACTGAAGCAACACTGCCTCACGCACAGACTTTCCACATTCAGGTGTTTGTATGGACGCCAGAATGTGTCAGCTCGGGTGGTTGCTGAGGCAAAAACTCGGGCATGGGAGGAGTTCGGAAAGGCCATGGAGAATGACTTCCACACGGCTTCGA